TTGTCAGTTTTAACATCTCATTCACATATCGTTATTAAAGACTGTCACACTTTGCACAGTTTGTTTCCACCCGAGCAAAGTGTGACAGTCTACACCCAGGTGAACTTGTTCTACGTCTGTAAGTGTCTTCAGTCTGATGGTGACAGACAGAAATATCCTGAGCAGCTGTTAAGTTGTATTCAAAGAACGAAGGGGTTTAGAGTTGTTGTGATTAACACATTTTAAGTAAAACAACAAGCGAATACAAATCGCCTGGCTAAGTTGACTAATTTTCAAAATATGCTGCATTTCTGTTTTTTTGTTTTGTTTTTATTGATTCACATAACAGGAACGATGAACATTAATACACATTTTCATAAATGTGCTGAAGTTAAGAGGCTATTTATGGCTAATTTTCACCCAGTAAAATATATATATATAGACAGATTTTGACAAAAAACATCTGATTCTGAGGGGGTCAGGTGAGAACATCTTTCTGTTTGTCTGTTTGCTTGTGACATTTTCATGCCAGTTTAAATGGCAAGACGTCACAAAGTCAGATTCTGACTGCAACTCAATTACCAAATCAATTTCTGTTCGGTAAACGTTAACGATCAGAGCTTTTTACGTCCACTCCAGAAACATTATCCTGGTTAAGAACAAGCTTGTTGTCAACAACTTTTAATCATTGTTACCTATATCTAGACACCAGGTTGAGCGAACAGATTTTACATTTTGCAAGTGTCAAAATATGCCTAAAGTAGAAAATTATTTTGACACAGAAGGTGCCATGGATAGAAGATGAACCTGGTAAGAAAATGTAGGTAAACTGACAACTTTCATTTGTGATATCTTGGGCATTTAATGCTGAAATTATTCTGTTATGAAGCTAAAAAAAAAAAAAAAGTGAGGCTTCATTAAATATGTTAAAACTACTGTACAGAAAACCCAGCTGATTCTGATTCAGGAGGAACATTTTGTTGATTTTATACAGAATGATCCAGACAACAGCACGTGATTAAAGCTCCAGTGGTTCAAAATATGGACATATAGTTTTTCTTCCCTGTGAAAATGTATGAGTTTCAAAATAAGGTTCCCTTGTAAGTCAGACCAACGCAGAAATGTGATTTCAGACATCAATTAATCACAGTTAATCATAGCTCCAATCAAACCTGAACAGCCTCCGTTTTAAAGCAATCAGCCAAAGAAACTTTAAGTCAGTTGTGTCTTTAAATAGACTGAAGGTTTAATGTTACACGTTCAGATGCATTCATATTTAATGCAGTTGCCCCTAAAAAATAAATGTAACTGTGATTAGCATCCAACATGGGTCATGTTCACTAGTTAGTTAACTCAGACCACCACAGCTGTACCAACCTATTCTGTGTAGCTTTATCTGTGGTTTCCAGATGATATCCAGCAGTCTGCGCTGAGGATCGAGCTCTCCCTCGTACTGGACGATAGTTTCTTTAAACGTTGTCCGTTTTTCTTCAGCAGCAGCAGTTTGTGTCTCGTTTATAAAATCTGCTAAATGTTGAACTGAAGACATTATTGCTTAAACTACTGAAGTGTTTCCACCCAACACGACGACACAGCCGCCTCCAAAAACTTCCACACAACAGTGAAGCTTACGCTGCTAGCGCCCTTGTTTACCTCCGCCGGTGTTCCTTTTTGAAGCTCCGACAGAAACATCGAGATAACTTTTTGTTCCGACTTGTTCATGTTTTTACATCCTCTTTTTTTTTTTTTTTTAAATAAATGAAACTTTATGTAGACTTTTTATGCAGCTTCTGTTAGGTTTACAGGAAAACTAAAATATCTAAATAAAAACAGATACTTAAATTAAAAAAATAATCAAACTATTCACAGAATAAAAATAACTAAACCTTGAGCAAAATGTCTTTATATTCCAGCTGTCAGTGTAACCAACCATATCAATTGTACCATAAAAAATCACTTTAATTTGCCTTAAAGTCCTATTAACACATCACACACAGTCAAGTCATAATACACTCTAAGATGCAATTAAGTGTTTTCATTAATAAACAAGTTTAGTATGTCCAAAAACAACTTTATTTACATCTTCTCATACAATTTCTTGTGGTATATTCATTCTGCATTCCTTATTGAAAGAACTTTTCTATCAGTCTTCAATTACAGTGACTTTCTATATGCACCTGCATCTAATGAGGCTCTTTAGGCCTGTTTATCACTCTGCCCTAAGATTTATTATTGCTGGCAGTTACAATACTCAGGTAGGATGACCTTACCTCACTTTTAGACGCTTGGTTTGGTTTATTTTTGAGGCACTGAAAGACATGGAAGTTGATCTATGATGTGTGCACTCCTCTGCCGACTATAGACACACAACATGAAACTTTTGAACTCTGCAGTTTTCATTCTGGGAAGACCACCGTGTAGAAATGAACAAGAAAAGCTCTGCTCACCGCAAAAAGTAACTTTACTGCCTGTGATAGATCTATGGGGCTCATTTGTCTTGCAGTGTGCGACAACATATTCCCCTCTCAAACTAACCCTTTACATTAAGTTCCTCTGTTACATTAGTTTGGAGAAGCAGAAATGTAAAGTAATTAGTGGCTCCCAGCACTGACAGGACACGGCCACAGCTTTGGCACTGTGTTCATTGTTGCTTAATGGGCGCAACCAAATGTACAATTGGGATTATTCAGTATTGGTTTGCAACCTGGGCAGTCAGTATTTACTTTGGGATCGAACTATTAGACTGTAAGACTACAATCTTAACTTAAATTATCACTCTTGTAAATGAGCCTGTTCAGTTTCGCCCCTGCTTTCCAGCCTTTTTCTAGCCAACACAGTGGAAGAAACATTTTTCTTAGAAACATTTTTAGCAAAGACACTTTATTTGTTCAGCACCTTTAACATAAGATAAAAATCTGTCTACTAAAAATGACTGACTACAGAAACAAAGTATTAGAGAGATAATGTACAGCACATTGATGGGGCAGCAGTTGGAGCAGTTCAAAACATACTTAAGAATCTTGAGGTTTCTAAGATTTTAGTATCAAAATAAATTCATAACAGTTGTCAGTAAATCCAACAGCAAACAGGAAAAACAGACTTGATAATTCAAAAATAATAATTCAGTGTTTTTCCATTTAGCACAATGTAAAAAATATAGGCTACAAAAACAGGAATGATGTTACAGTCCACAGTGTAACTCACAGAAATTCACATTTATCATAAGCAAAGACTTCCAATGTGTCATTTTCCAAAATACTTTGTTCTCAAGTTTGGCTCCCACGTGTGTCAGGAGTATGACTTCTCACCTGTGTGACTTCTTTTGTGAACGGTCAGATTACTACGTTGAATGAAGCTTTTCCCACATATTTCACAAAAATATGGTCTCTCGCCCGTGTGAGTTCTCATATGTGTTTTCAGTGTTGATATGACGTTAAATCGTCTCTCACAGATGTTGCAGGCATAGGGTTTCTCACCTGTGTGGGATCGTATGTGTACTTTCAATGTTGATGCATCTTTAAATAATTTCCCACAACTTTTGCAGGGGTAAGGCCTCTCACCTGTGTGCGTTCTCTTGTGGACCAACAATTTATCACTACTTCTGAATCTTTTCCCACATGTATTGCAAGCATATGGCTTCTCACCTGTGTGGATTCTGTGATGTCTCTTCATTTGATAGTTATCCTTGAAGGCTTTTCCACAAACATCACATTTTACAGACTTTTTCTCTATGTAAGTATTACCGTGACTCTTGAATATAGGAGGGTTGTCTACATTATTACTGCTGTTTCTATGATGTCTCGTCTTTGGCATCAGTGCTGCATTTCTAGCTGTTCCTGAGTCTGCATACTTGCTTCCTTGCTGATCACGGCTCTCAGCCACAGGAGAGCTGTGAGAAAGGAGCTGGTCACTGTTTGTTTCTGGTTCACTATGGTCACTTTCCTTATAAGTAGGAGTTACCATACAGATGTCAGTCTCCTGTTTTAGTACAAGCTGTTCTCGCTCCAGACTGGTGCAGAGTTCCTCTTGTTCCTCCTTAATCTGCAAACCCTCTGGGCACTCCCGGTGCACACTGGTGTAGGGTTGCTCCTGTTCCTCTTTCATTTGTGAAGGCTCTGGGTCCTCCTGGTCCAGACTGGAGTTCCTCTCCTGGTCAGCGAGAACCTTCTCATTCTTACATACATGTTTCTGTTGGGAGTCTGAAGGGACAAAAGAACACAAGTTTCTACTGTGACGAAAGTAAAACACACATCTGAGCAAATACATTTCAGTTTAAAACACAATCAGGGCCCTATAGTGCGAGCATGTCAATCAGATTTGCAAGCAAAACTTATAGTGTGAAAATAAAACGAATCATCTGCGTGCCTTGTCATTTGCTTAGGTGGAGGTGGTGGGAGACACAGGGTCATAGGTGTTTTTAGACCACAAAATCTGTCTCACAACGGCAACCAATGGCTTAGACAACACCTCCACCAGGGCAGATCTGTGGGCACAGATGTGGGTGACAAGAGGCCCAAGTGGCCATGGAGCAACAGTGGGTGAAGGGGCTCCATTATAGGGATATGATAAGTTGTTTATGAGAGGAAGCACGCTTGGGGTTTGGTCTTGCAACCAAACTTTGCATTTTCTTTGAGTATTTTTACATTTCAGTAAAATTGTCAACAGTTTTTTGTTATTCGTGTTGATGAAGTGTCTATTGCTGAAACATATTGCTGTCATTTTACTGTCCAGGCCGAGGCTCACGCTACCAGATGATGATGCCAAACACACTGCTAAAGAGTTTTGCAAAGTGAAAACTCTTGAATGGGGAAGTCAGTCCCCTAATGCTCCATTTGCTGAAGAGAAAAGTGAAAGGAGAAAGGCTCCCCTCAAGGGTGTGACCTTCCCCCTCTCCTATTTATACTTTACACTAATGACTATCAACCTATTAAATTTTCTATTGCCATGTTCCTCCTTTTGCTCCTCTCAGGGACGAACCACGAACATGGCCTCGTCTTCTAGAGCTTAATACGTGTGACAACGGAGCTGAACGTCACCAAGGCTAAGCAGATGGTTTCCACAGGAAGCCCCTGAGGTCAGACCCAGTGGTCACATGGTGAGGAGGTGGATATTGTAGATCAGTGTAAATATTTTGGTACCATCTTATGAGAACAGAACACAGTATCCATAATTAGTAAAGCACATTGACGTGAATACTTCCTCAAGAAATTGAATTCTCTTAATGCCCAAAATGCATGCTACACAACCTTACTTAATCTAGAATACACTGAGTCCACCACTTATTTGCTGGCTTCTATTCCTCTATATCAAAAACAGAAAGTGCCTCCAAACAGTGAACATGGGTTTGGTCAGATGTCATCTTTGTCTCACCAACCAGTCAAGCATTCATTTTTAAAGCCATCTGCTTCAATGAAGAAATAAAAAATATTTCTGCACTCTAAAGTTAGGCACACATAAAGCTGCAAACATTACAATGGCCGTAAATGAGGGGATTATACAAAAAAGTCCTGTCTTGCTAGTAAAAAAAAAAACAACCCTCAAATAAAATCTGCCATGGGCACTTTAATCACATGTGAATTATTTGACAAAATGAAAACTGTGGTGCTAAGAAGGGGCAAATAAAGGAAAACTTGTCTTTGAAACACTTGCACAGTATAATCACTCATACAAGTCTTCTAGTCTTCCTCTGTCCTGGACTTGGATTCAAGTTTCGTCAACATCAGATCTTCAGGTCATGCAGGTGTTTAGGCAGGACTACACATATTTACTTTGGCAGCAAGATCAATTAAGCGTCCATTTGTGGCACAAAAACATTAAAATCCTCCTGTAGTTAACAGCAGTTTATCACCAAAATATCATCAAACCGGTTGTCATTTTGACCAAGTGGTTGGAACTGCCTTTCTGTCTTTACTTCAAGTCTTCCTAAAGATTTACTTCGTCCAAAATGATACATAATCGCAGTCTTTATCCCATAAACATCACAAATACACGATCTATTGTCCTTTTACCTCAGGGGTGCCCAATCCTGGTTCTGGAGGGCCACAGTCCTGCATGTCTTAGATGTTTCCCTCTTTCAGATACACCTGATTCAAATGATCAGCTCATCATCAAGCTCTGCAGAAGCCTGATAACGACCCTGATCATTTGAATCAGGTGTGTTAGAAGAGGGAAACATCTAAGACATGCAGGATTGTGGCCCTCAACGACCAGGACTGGACACCCCTGTTTTACCTTGTCGGCGATAGTTAACGCAGCATTTGCTTTAGTTAGTTTGTTAGTTAGCCCCGTTAGCATGCTAGCAGTCGGCTGTCAGTGTGTGTGGTCTCCGTAAGCGAACAGTTACATGTCATGTTTCTAAACTCTACATTCATCTCATAGTTTAGTCAGTTTCTCTTGTATCTCGTACATTCAGACCGTCACTGTTCTACATACCTGTCGTGTGTATCGTTATCTGTGGTTTCCAGATGTTATCCAGCAGTCTGCGCTGACGATCGATCTCTTCTTCGTACTGGACGATGGTTTTTTCAAACTCTGTGAATATTTCTTCAGCAGCAGCAGTTAGTCGCTCGTTGATCAACTCTCTCAGATAGAGAACCGACGACATTATCACCTCAACTACTGTCAACACAACCACCTCGAAAAACTTCCACAAATCTGTAAAGCAGCGCTCCAACTTTATTTCTTCCGGGTGTCTTCTTCTTCTTCGTCGTCGAATAAAGTTTGCAGCAGACTGGACGCGGCGACGGCATGTTGCTGCCCCCCACTGGTCATTTGCAGAATTACATATGCACATTAAATCCTTATGTAGAGATCAAAAACTCAACTTGATTTCTGTAAATCTAACGTTGCCGGATTTCTTCTTTGTGTTTTTTGTATTAAATAACCTACCACGGCCAGATTTGAAGCTTTCAACCAATTGACCATCACCATATCCATACAGACAACAATTATTTGTAGTTCCTCTACCTTCAGTTGATATATGCAGGGTGTATATCTATCCAGATGTTATGTGTTAATATGAACTCAATATATAAATGACTTATGGTACAGCTATTATGGTTGGTTGCGCTACAGCTTGGTTGTCTGGATATTTTGCTTGAAGTTTAGTCATTTTTATTACATGAATTATTTCAGTGTTTTCACCTATCCCAACAAACAGGGATCTCAGAGGAAACTGCAGGTTCCATTTTGCTGGCTTTCATCTGTTTCGTCTTGTCACTGTAACATTGCTGTTGTTAAATATATGTACAAATCTATTTGTTTTTCATGAATTTATAATTAACATTCCAACTAGAGGTTGTCTAATAAATGATAGTTCAAGTTTGTTTTTTTTTAAATTCAAATTAATTTAATTTAATTTTTATATTTTTCTTTTCAACAGAGACAGAATGTAAAAGATCACCTGATGTTGACCTTCCGGAACTTCATATTGTGACACCGGCGGAAGTAAACATTGAAAGGGTGCTAGCAGCGTTAGCTTTACTGATGTTTGGAAGTTTTTAAAGGCGGCCGCGTTGTCTCGCAGGTAAATATTTCAGTGGTTTCGATAATAATGTCTTCAGTTCGACATTTAGGAGAGTTTACAAACGAGACACAAACTGCTGCTGCTGAAGAAAAAATCACGGAGTTTGAAAAAACCATCGTTCAGTACGAGGAAGAGATCGATCGTCAGCGCAGACTGCTGGATAACATCTGGAAACCACGGATAACGTTACACACCACAGGTATGTAGAACTGTGATGATGTTAATAAACTAAGTAATAAATACGGCTAATGTATGAACCTAGTCAGATCTCTGAGTTACAGCAACTGCAATAAACTTTAGTGTTATCTCAGTTCATAGTGTAACCAGGATGGACATTCATGATGATTAACTATTATATTTTATCCCATGTTTAGTTTATTGTTTGGCCACTATCCGTATTCAGCACGTAATTGGCATGAGTTACAGAAGGCTTTTATATATAAAATAAAGCAACTATTTCTCTTACAATTATCAGTTATTACAATAATCCAATCCCCTGGAGATGCTTTGTGCTACAGACAGCAGGTACCACAACACCTTGGTCAAGGCCAGTGGCTCTACGGTTCTGTTCCACCTTTAAGCTCAGTCCTTTTCTATTATGTGATTGTTTTCTGACTTTAGATTTTTATAAAACTTGAAGCTACTACCAGTCAGTTTCACAGCACAGCAGCTGTCTTTAACTTCTGTGTAAGGTGAGTTTTTCAGACAGCGTTGCAGTTATAAAATCAGGAGTTTCACGACAGAGCACCAGTTTGGTTAAAATGTCTTCTTACTGAGTGGGCTTTACGCCGCTGCTTCACACTAATTCTGTTGTCTGATGACAGAAACACATGAAATGGGAACAGCTGTGTTAGGAATTGTGCTGTGTTAAAATATTACATATGTGAGCACAGAGAGAAGCTGACAGATGTAAAGTGGCTCCTGTGTGTTTTCTCTTCAGGTGGTTCTGGTCTGCCATCAAAACTCCACACAGCTGTACAAACTTTGTTCTGTGACAATCTGAAGTCATTCTGTACTTTACTAAGCTGTAGATCTGTGAACACTTTAACATTTAACCTAGTTGGACTGTGCTGATTTCGCCATTGTAGCACTGTGGCCAAAAATGACTGAAGTCATAACGAAACAATTATTGGGTGTCCTTAACAAATTTCAGTTGTTTGTTAACCATGTACTGGAAATACCCACTGTGTATCTGCTGCTTTACATCTGCACCATGACTGTGCAAACTGAGTGCCTGCGTGCTCTCCTGTCTCCTAATGCATTTGTCTTAAGAAATGGTAAGTCTACTAATATCTTCAGTTTAACCTACTCAGCCATTGCTGAGTTGCTTAATTAGCAGGTGAACAGTATAAACAGTGTGATTGTCTTGTCACTATCACCTTAATTTATCAAATGTTATCACAAAACGCTTTACAAAGATGGACCTGGACTCCGCTGTTGTTACAGCAATGTAGCCAAAGCACATTAAAGTCCCTGAAACTGCAGTAACATCCTGGTACTTCTCTCACATATCGAAAGAGACGTACTTTATACAACAGAAACACTTGTTTACATCACCATTTTCCTCAGAGGGGATTAGTGGTTATGCTGTGGCTGTGCTAGCCCCACTGTTTAAAAACAACAACTATAATAATCCTAAATAATCCTTACCTTGACAGACAGATATGGGCAGTGGTGGAGGAATCCCTCACATGCTTCTGTAAAAGCACTAATAACAATGCTGAAATTCCTGCATTGAAAATGTTATCCAAAGTAAAAGTATGTCAGTATGATCAGAAAAATATTCCATGGTATTAAAAGGAAAACTGCTTAATGCAGAAAGACGTCTCCAGTGACTGTTAAAGTATAGCGAGCATGTTATATCACTGGGTAAGTAGTACTCAGGCATTTATGTACAAGCAGGATTTTACCGTTGAACTGTCTGTCCCTCAAAGAATTTAAATCAGTAAGCAGAATTGTTAAAATACAAACAATACTGAAGCCTACATGTTGCACCATATCCCAGTGTTACAGAGTGATTGTTCTCCTCCCTCATAAACAATCTTAACTAAATGCAGACAGCAGCGTTGTGTTAAAGCCTTTCTCTTGACCAAATTACAGAGACACCAAACCGACAACAGCAAAGGTTTGTTTTGTTCTGTCATCAGTTCAAGTCATGGAAAGACTGTTAGTCAGCAACGGCTTGTTGACCTGCTGTTTTAGCCGACAACAGCAGCGTCAGTACAGACTAAGAGCAGGATGCTGCTGCCTGAATGTTTTGTACACTGAGCTTTGCTAATAGAAGTGTCAGAACTATGTGTTATTTGCTCATGCTGCTAGTAGTTTTAACTTGTATGCATGTACTCAATTGCAGATGGCCACGACTGACCTTTTTCTTCTGTTCCTTTGTCCTTCTAGACCATCCACAGCACCATATCTGTAAAGAGGAGGAGGTTCTCGCTGACCAGCAACTCTGTAACCAGGAAAGGAACTACAGTCTGGGCCCCATGGATCCAGAGTCTCCACAGATTAAAGAAGAACAGGAGGAACTCTGCATCAGTTTTAACCAAGAAGACCCAGAGCATTCACAGATTAAAGAGGAACAAGAGGAACTCTGCCCCAGTCTAGAGCAGGAAGACAAGGAGCCTCTGTGGATTAAAGAGGAACAGGAGGAATTTTGCACCAGTCTGCAGCCGGAAAACCAAGAGCCTCCATGGATTAAAGAAGAACAGGAGGAAAGCTGGACCAGTCCAGAGCCGGAGGACCTACAACATCAGATTAAAGAGGAACAGGAGGAATTCTGTACCGGTCAGGAGGGAGAGCTGCTTGTAGTGAAGCTGGAGGCTGATACCTTCATGGTGGCTCCTAATGAGGAGAGTGATCTCAGTGAACCAGAACCAAACAGTGACCAGCTCCCTTCTTACATCTATCCTGTAGGGGAGAGCCCAGATGAAGAAGGAAGCAAGCATGTAGACAATTTTCCCATGCCAGAGAGTCGCTGTGATACTGTTACAGGTGAAAAGAAAGTAAAATGTGATATTTGTGGAAAAGGGTTTAAGGATAGTTATCAAATGAAGAATCATCACAGAGTTCATACAGGTGAAAAACCCTACGCTTGTGAAATATGTGGTAAGAATTTCGGTCGGAGTCGAAGTTTGTTGCACCACATGAGGACTCATTCAGGTGAGAAGCGGTATTCTTGTGAAACTTGTGGGAAAAGTTTCCGCCTAAGTTCTAATTTGCTGTGCCACAGGAGAACTCACACAGGCGAGAAGCGGTATTCCTGTGAAACATGCGGGAAAAGTTTCCGTCAACGAGGTCATTTGCTGTGTCACATGAGAACTCACACGGGTGAGAAGCGGTATTCGTGCACTGCTTGTGGGAAAGGTTTCAGTCAGAGTGGTAATTTGTTGCTCCACATGAGAACCCACACGGGGGAGAAGCCGTATTCTTGTGAAACATGTGGGAGAAGTTTCAGTCGAAGCGATAATTTGACGGTCCACATGAGAACTCACACAGGTGAGAAGCCTTACCTCTGTCACACCTGCGGGGACCGATTTACTCACACATCAATACTGAAAAGTCACATGAGAAAGCACACTGGTGAGAAACCTTAACTCCATAACACCTGTGGCGGGGAGAGATTTGCTATCAGACCTTAAAAAACTTGCAGCAGTCCACGCAGGTGACAAGCCGTATTGCAAAACATCTAAGAGATGTTTCAGTCGAACTGATAATTTGGCTGTCCAGATGAGAACTTGCGTGGCTGAGAAGCTGTAGTGCTGACACATGCTTGGGGGAAAATAGAACAACATTCTCTCCATCTTTGTTGGTAAAATAAATAACGTATGAGCCAATATGACAAGAATGTTTGTTTGAATTCAGAAATATCTGTTCTTAGGTTTTTGTACTTTTGGTCATTTCATTTTGTGTATCAACTTTACAATATTACACAGGTATATATGAGACTGTAATTCATTTAGACTCAGTTGAGAGCTGTAATTTCTGATGTACATATACATTAAGCTATCTGTATGTAAAAATAAAAGATCTCCTCTTTGACTAACTGCTAAAAAAAAAAAATGCTGTTTCTAGTTAAAGCGAGAATCAAAAGTTAACTCACTGTCTCTGCTGGTGTCATGTTGTTCCCCCTCTGTGTCCACTAGCCCTGCCCCACTGATAACAGTGAACTGGATGTGAGTTCAGAGCAAAGCCTGCCCCCGAGGTGTTGTGCTCGTGCCTCTGCAGTTGTAAGGACAGCTTTGAAGTTCAAACGTACTTTCGTTTGTGACTGTTTCTGTGGAAAGTTCTATTGTGTAAGTGAAAGGAGATTTTGTTGTTTTTAATATTTTAAGAATAACAGGGAATGAACTAAACATGTGTTGTTGCAATGTTTTGCGTTGTTGTTACCACAATAAATTGCTATTTTCATCAGTAAGTCTTTCACGCCGCAATATCGTCTCTGGTGCTTTCTAAGGAAATGTAATGTATTATAATGTCATTGTAGAAATAAAAGTTTGATGCTTCGATTTGAGGGGAAATGGAGACTTAATTACATAAATGGAATTTTATAATCTCACTGTTTGATTGTTTTCAAAACAACATGTCTGTGTCAATTCTCAGTCCTCCAGGATGTGGTAAGTGTTCCAGTAGAAGGAAACTGAACTTCTTTTTGGTTTATGAAAACATTTCCTCTCATCCAAGAGATGGCACAACACAGGACAGCCAGTTCCTCAGGACAACACTCAGCAGTGCACGTGCATCTGAAACATAAGGGACACTTTGAAGACGACAATGACCACAGTCTGGACAGAGAAGATGGATGCATTGAGAGAGGAGTGAAGGGAACCATCTCTAAACAGAAGAAGTAGCAGACAGCACTGCCGTTCAGTCATACAAACTCCTGACATCCATCCCCAGGCAGTTTTATCTCTGTTCACACACATCACAATAAATACCTCCTCATCAGTCAGAAGTGAGGAACCTTCTGGGATGAAGGTGAAACATCTTCAAAAACCTCATAAAGTCCAGTTGTTTTCTACTGAAGCACTTCGGATCACAATGCCTTGTTACTGTTCATACAAGTTTTTACCATCTCTGTGCTCCCCAGCAAAGTCATTGAGATAGAACTCGAGTATATCTGATGATCACAAAGTGTGTAGCTTCAGCCGCAGTTTAACCATTACGCTACTTGTCTGCTACACATCCATGTTACAATACATTCTAAAATGTAATATACGATTTTTCTTAATGGACAAGTTTAGTATGTACTTCACACTGTCACCATGACTTGTATTCAAACACATTTATAATCATCACAGTATCATTATAATTACAAAAATACTATACAAATACTATAATACTATACATTGTGGTTACAGTGAAGAAATGCAAAAAATGTATTTAGTCAAAATATTAAAGATCAATCAGCAACCAAACCAAACTCACATCAGCAAAAACAGATGGTCAGGATTTGTGCTTGTACAGAACATAAGGAGCAAACAAAGACAAGAAGCTGGAATTAGACAGGCCCATTTATAACAGGGATGGTCAAGGTAAGAGTGCAGACATGCAGCCTGATACCCTACTCATTGCCAAAGTAAACACAGACCAGTCTTTAAACTGGTAAAGTATAATATAGTAAATGTAACTTTTAAAATACTCAGATTACACATACCTCCAATTTGGAGAGAAAAAAAAATAGTGTGTATTTTAGAACTTCGATGCAATCTGGACCATCTACAGACATTTACTTAGTTCCTTGTTACTCCTGTAAATACGTCTGTTCAATTAAAGCATGTAATAACTGTTTGTGGAAGCAGCAACTATCTGCAGCAGGGATGAAGAGCATGACTCTTGTGTGCCGTAATTATTGCTCTACAAAGTTTTCTGGTAATAATAAACACATGAGATCAGAAAAGCAACAGCACTGATCATTGTTTATTTATATGGCACCTTTTGCAACAGCATGTTGTGTATCTTCTATATTTTGTTAGTGTTGTCGCTAAAATAATGCCAAGTTGATCACAAAATGCACAGAAACATAAAAGGAAACAACAAATTCTAAACAGTTGGTTGGGCGCACTTAAATGGTTTCTCATCTTCAAGTTCAGTTCACAAACTATGTCACACTGACACAAAGTCAATCAAATTATGGTCATTTCATTGTTATTAGTTGTTCTTTTTTTCATTTAAACACCTGCACACTTTGAGGCAGATGTTACCGTCTTTGTATACAGTTACCATGGTTACATATTGGAAAAGGCTCATCATTATTATTACATATTATATCTAAGCTGCCCTCTGTCAAGCAGCATCTTTGCAGTTAGTTGGCAACTAGTTTGTAGGGGAGAAAAAGTGGAATAAACAATGATCCCATCATTTTGCCTTTTCAATATAACTCCAACATACTGTGTGCATATATGTATGTACTAGAAGAGTTATGGCTTATTAATTGGAATATTCACTCTTTAAAAATCAGCATTGGTCCTAGACATCCAGTGTCAGTTTGGCTTTATGTCACATGTTGGTACCTTGGTTTAGTAATCTGTCTCCTCAGCTCACGGATGATCTGAACACACCGTCACATTACATGGATCACTCTGTGCATGAAAACACAACTTGTTAATCTCATGAACTTGGAATTGGATGAGGATCCTCACACGTGCACAGGACACAGTAGGCCGGATTTTAAATATGTGCACATTTTAATTTGGAAAGTTGCGAAGATTTTCACCATGTTTCATTCAAATAAAACCAACAGCAACAGTCTGGTGAGATGCTTCATGGCTTAGCCTGGCTACGGTGGCTAAGCTAACCACTGCCATGTCAGCAGAGCTGGGGTGTAGAGAAGCAAGCTACTTCTCGAAGCTCCAAACACCACAAATACATATCATGCCGTCTCTTGAGGCGTGTTGCTGCCCTCCACAGGGCCTTTGGAGAATTCTTTTACATGAGTTAAATTTTATTGTAGAGTCTGATAAGATTAATTAACTTTTGTTTGACCAAATGGCACCAACAAACATTTAACTTCAACATTAAAACACCTCTTGTGTTTTATTATGTTACAGCAATCAATTAATCCATCAGCTTGAATAAGCAGCATTGAAAGAAATATCCTTCCTCTCAATGTTCTTTGATAATAATACGTTTCTTTCACCTTTTACAACACCATATCGCACATCTTCCATATTTTCTCAGTCACCTTTAAAGCCTGAAACAATAAAAATTGATTTAAAAATATAATGTTGTTGAAGCAACGCAAACTCAACAGTAAGGAAAGACTCCAGTTGGCAGGGAGTGATAGAGGGTTTCTTAGCTTCCACTTTCAGTCAGAATTCACAGTCCACGTCTGACTGAGGCAGTAAGAAGAAGACACAGTTCAGAGTTATAAACCAGAATATGACATGAAGTGACATAGAATATTCTCGTGACGTTGTATCCACGTTATTTATAAATAAGGTTTTGGTAAGCACAAAAAATGATGGAAGTGAGAGGAGAAAAAGGAGTTTGTGTCAAACCTTAAGGAGCTGCTTATTTACAACATAAGAGATGCAGATAAAATGTTTACACCAGTGAAGATTTTTATTGTGACGTTTTCCTCAAGCTGCTTCATTTGACACTTATTTTTAAAGGTCACATTTCACAGACTTTTTACCTTTGTGCTATCAAAAAGTTCAGACTGTGCCAATAATAAGCAAAAACTGTGTCGCATTTATATTTGCCCACCATCCCCATCAAAGTAGTCTCCCTGTGCAGCAATGCAGCGCTCCCAGCGCTCCTGCCACATCTGAAACGCTCTCTGGAAGTCCCGTTTTTTAAGTGTTTCAAGCACCACCTGTGACACGTGCTGAATCTCCTCCACTGTGTCACAATGATGACATTTCAACTTGAATTTCATTTTGGGAAAGAGAAAGAAGTCACAGGGAGATAAATCTGGCGAGTACGGCGGGTGGGGAACGACGATCGTGTTGGTGTTGGCAAACAACTCCTGCGTTTCCAAAGCACTGTGAGCCGGAGTGTCTTCATGGTGGAGCACCCAGTTGCCATCGCGCCACAGTTTAGGTCGCTTCTGGTGAATGCTCTCCCTCAGATGCTTCAGGACGCTACAGTAGAACTCTGTGGTGACAGTCTGACCCTGTGGGACGAACTCATGGTGCACAACGCCATGAATGTCGAAGAACACCACCACCATGATTTTTGTCGCACTCTTGACCTGTCGCGCCTTCTTTGGTCTTGGAGACTGCTGTTTGGTTTCTGTGTGGTAGTCGTAGACCCAAATCTCCTCACCAGTGATGATCCTCGACATGAAGGTTGGGTCATCCTGAGCCTGCTGACGGAGATCATCACACACTTTGACACGCTGCTGTTTCTGCTCAGGAGTCAGGAGCCTGGGCACGAACTTTGCAGCAACACGGTGCAGATTCAAATTGGACGTTAGGATTGCCTGAACTGTTCCAAAAGACATGTTGACCATGTGAGCAATTTCCTTGATGGTGAGCCGACGATCCTGACGCACGATTTCTTCAATTTCTTGAACATTTTCAGGGGTTGTACTCGTAGAGGGTCGCCCTGGCCTGTCGTCGTCATCTAGTGAAGTTCTGCCCATCTTGAAACGTGAATGCCACACGAAACATCTGGACCGACTCATTGCTTCCTTGCCGTAGGCTTTCTGAAGTATCTTGAGCGTCTCTTTTGCCGACATCCCGAGTTTGACACAACATTGTATCTTTGCTCTCTGCTCAAGTTTGATGTCCAGGTCACCAATGGGCACCTGCAAGTGGTCACATAAATGAAAATCACTGCTTTGATCACACTTTGGACAGTGACTCTCTGAGAAGTTGTCTGAATTGTTACTGTGATGTTTTCTCTTTGGTCTCAACACTGCATTTATAGTTGGTCCTGAGCTTACATGGTTGCTTCCGTCCTGATGTGGGCTTTCAGCTACAGGAGAGTTGTGGGAGAGGAGCTGCTCACTGTTTGGTTCTGGTTCACTTTGGTCACTTTCCTCATAAGCAGGAGTTACTGTTAACGTATCAGTCTCCTGTTTTAGTACAAGCTGCTCTTTCTCCTGACTGGTGCAAAGTTCCTCCTGTTCCTCTTTGATTTGTGGAGGCCCCAGCTCCTCCTGGTCAAAACTGATGATGAGTTCCTCCTGTTCTTCTTTAATCTCTGGAGGTTCTGGGTCCCCCTGGTCTGGACTGGAGCTCCTCTCCTGGTAACAGGGCTGCTGGTCAGCGAGAACCTCCTCCTCCTTACAGACATGTTGCTCTGGGATGTCTGAAAGGACAAAGGGACACAAGAAAAAGTTTACTAACTAAAGGTTGCTATACAAAAATGAACATCCATGCAAAAATATTCTAATTTAAAACATTAGCAGGGATTTACACACATGAAGGTAAAATCTGAACTGTGCAAATGTGATCAATGATTTGGGGGTACCAAGCAAGTCAAACCAGCTGTTGTTCATCAACAGTAATTCTACACTTAAAAGCAGCGTTTAGTTTGAGAGAAAGTGAAAAACATCTTGATGGAAAAACTGACTTTGACACAGAAACACTGCCAAAGAGGAAACACCTTTGTCTAAATCCACACCACAAATTCTTCTCCTAAAGCAAAACAGGCTGAGATAAACGTTATTATGCTTTTTTCTTTTGTTTGCCAACGGGTTCTACTCATTGATCAAAGTTTTGCTCCTCATTAGTCAGTGTTTCAATTTGTCTCAGAAGTCTCTGTCTTCTTCTCTTTCAACTTCAACAGAGGCAGCTAAAAACAAATAAGGTGGCAGTGCTTTCAGATTAAGTTATTTATCATTTTAGTAAATTCCATTAGTTGAACAGTCAACGTAACGAGGTTTCAAAGTATCGACAGTAAATAAGTAAATTCAATTAAGTATTCAGATCAGGAAAAAAAACCCTGAAAATTGCCCTCTGATTTCTAAGGCTGTCAATTAATTCCCAGACTGCATGCGGTTCACAGTGCAAGCATGAAACAAGCTCAAAGCCTTCTTCTCATTCGTTTGCTTTTTATCAGCTCACATTTTATTTTAACATTTTTACAGGAACCCTGTAGTTCAGTCAGTCCCCCTGCTGTCATATACACACTGTGCAATTAATGCAGAATGTTTCCACTTTTAAAAACATTTC